CGCCGGCGCGGGGGGCGGGTCGTGCTGCGGCGCTCCCTGGCACCTTCCCCTCCCGGGGAGGGGTCCTCCGAGGGGCTGCCAGGAATCCCCCCGGGAAGGGAGCTGAGTTCTGTGCGTCTCCCTGAGACAGGGCAAACAAGCTGCTGCCTTACCCGACCCCGCTGCCTCCTCCCGTGGCTCTGCAGGCTTCCCAACCCCCCTGCACCCCGCGCTCCCCGCCGCAGCACCCTGCTTGTCCTGCCCTTCTCCCGCTCCTTTCCCCGTCGTGCCACCTTCTCTCCCCCCTTCCCATTCCGCACATCCCTTTGCACTGCACCGTCTGCTCCCAGCAGCCTCCTGATGAGCGCACTGATCCGCTCCATCGGCAGCCGTGCTGGGCAAAAAAAGGCAGGGAGAGGAGGAGGGGGCTGCCCCCCTTTTGGGATGCCTGTGCACCCCGAAAGAGGAGAGAGAGCAGTGGTGGGGCCCTTTCATTCCCTGAGCCTCCTGCCAACCTTTCGCAGCACAAAAGCAACATCGGCTGAGTGAAGCCACCAAATCTGGAGCAAAGATGTTCAGCTGCAACTCCCTTCTTCCTCCGTGGCCTCTCAAGGACCACGTGGTCTTTGTATTGTGTCCACAGCAAAAAAACTGTGGTGTTTTGAGGCTGAAAGAGGGGAATCTGTTCTAGGGAAGGGCCTCCTCCCAGATGTTGAAGCAGGGACTACCAAAACTTGGACGGCTGCTGCAGCAGATTTAGGAGGGGGTCCGTCGCTCAGCTTTATGGTGCCTTGTTGCTTGGTAACGCTTTTAGGAGGTGGAGCTGAAGCCAAACTGGATTTGAAGCATCAGCCTGGCTTTTTTGTTAGAATTCAAGGCATTGGGAGCGGAGCAGCCCGATATCTGCTGCTGCCTGCCCTCCCCAGGAGAACAAACCGCCCCTCTCTTCCCCACTGCTCCGAAAAGTCATCACGTCCCTCGGGGTCACTTCCCTTCCATGGATCTGGTGGTTGGGGCTTTGCTCTGGGATTAATTCCAAGTAATTTCCCTTCTGAAGGTGGCCAGGGCACCTTAGAGCCACCCAACTGGGGAGCAGGGAGGGCTGTACAGACAGGTGGAGACCCATGGCTTTGCCCGAGATGATCGCTGCCCGTGCCAGGGGACGCCCGCGTGCCCGAGCCCTCCAGTGCATGCAGCTCCGAGCCCTCCCCCTGCTTCTCTGTCTCCTTTCCATCGGATTTATCTGTGTGACGAGTCCAGCGAGCGTCAAGAGAGGAGACTCCCCCGTGTCTCACCCGAGGGAGTCCCCTCTCAGCCTTCCTCTCGAGCTCCTGTCACCTGTTTTTTGGTTGTGGTTTTTTTTATTATTATTATTTTTTTCCCCTCTTGCCAGTTGGTTTGGATTACGGTCGTCTCCACTGGGGCTGGGAGGCTGTGGGCTCTGCGTTCGCAGCGATGATGTTGGATCACTCACTGTCACTCTTTATTTTTTTCTTTTTTTTTTTCTTCCCTGTCTTCATTTTTGCATGCCACTGTTCTTCTGTATTGCAGCCACAGTAGAAGCGGTAGAGGCACGGGAAGGTATGGCTAAAAACCGGCGAGAGACTCAAATCATCTCCGTGTGTGCGTGCGCTAATTTTAAAGAGCTTTGCCAGCCCTTATGGAAGCTTTTTACTCTTGCATCACCAGAAGTGGGGGAGGATGGGCCCCTGCTGGGAAGCAAAAAATACACGGTGGGCTGGTTCCAGTCTATTTTAGCCTCGAGGAGGGCTATTGCTTAGTGCAATACCTTTATTCCGAGAATTCCCTGGCTCCGGAGCGGTTTGTGTCCCAAGACCTTGGTGTTGGGGTCCTGCAATCTGATCTGGGATGCCTCGTGGCTGAGTTCAGCCCCTGGGTAGCTCAATGCGGTGAAGGCAGCCAGCAGGCTTGGTCAAAATCCTCTAGGAAACAGCGGATTGCGCGTCTCTGGTGTAAATCCTCGCCTTCCCCTGCAGGTGGGCCAAGGTGGTCCCAGTGTGGAGAAGCAGTTTTCTCCCTACAGGGAGTAGACATGACAGATCCACGAGGTTTCTGTCTGGGGAGGTTTTTCTCCTCCATAGCTCCATTCAACTACCGATGAATGGGACCCTACGTCTGCGTAGAGAACTTTTCGCTTACCGAGGGAAGTTCGTTTGCAAACCAGCCAAGTCCTTGTCAAAAAGATTTGGCACAACCCCCTTTTCCTTAAATTATCTGGAATACGAAGAAGTTAAAGCGTTTGGTCCGTATCATCCCCGCGAGGATGATGTGCTCAGCCTCGTAGCGATGAAGCCGAGATCCGCCTGCCCTGGGTGGGATGTCGTCGCTCCCGAGACCGCCCGCGTGTCTCCTGGTCATGCAAGAAGCGTTTTGTGACCCGAGGGCTGGCCGTTCCCCCCTCCTGGTGTTGCAGTGCGTGGTTTGTGTTGGAGTCCAAGTGTCGTGGTGGTGTTCTGTGTTGTGTTGGTTTGGTTTGGCTTTTTTTTTTTTTTTTTTTTTAATGTCGCGTTTTTCAGCTTTAAAAGTTTTCCCTGAGATTTCACTGTTTGGGGGACGTTGAGCACTTGTCTGGCCTTCCAGTTCCTGCTGCTAAACTGTATTAAAAGTGTAAATGATTAGGGAGCAGAGCGAGTCGCTGCGGTCCGGATGCGAGACTCCGACCGAGCGCAGCTCGACTTCCAGCTGCGCCGGCGGGGTGCCGAAAATCCCCCGTAGCCAGACACGTGCTTTCTGTCGCCCCGACTCTGTCCTGTGCCTGTCTGGCGTGTGCCGAAGGGCCGGTCAGCTCGGGGCTGACTCCCCTCTCTCGCCCTTTCTCTCTGCAGCCATCCGTGGGTTCTCCCCGCAGCACAAGATCCGCAGCTTCGAGGAAGCCAGAGGGCTGGATCGCATCAACGAGCGCATGCCGCCGCGCAAAGATTCCGTGCACTCGGACGGGCCGGTGAACTTGGTAACCTCCACAAACTCTGCGGACAAGAACGGCACGGGGAAGAAAGCCCAGTAACGGTCCGAGCGCCCAATCTGCACCACTAAAGGATCCAAAACTTAATGAATTTTATTTATTTATTATTGGGGTGGGGTGGGGGCAGGGGAGAAACCAACTTCACCTGGAGGCACGTTCATAATCCAGTTTGCATCCGTTCTGTAAGAAAGGTGACCATTTTGTAATTTTTTTATTTATGTTCAATATATAAAAAGTCCATCTTTTTTTAATTTAGAAACCAATCTAACTGCTAGTGCATCTATGAAGTGTTGTGCTGTACAGCTGACCTCTCCTCCACGAGAGGCAAACCTCTGTGGGGGGATTAAAAGAAACAAAAACAGTCCCAGGCAACTTGGGTCGTTGACTTTGGTACCATTCTGAGTTAGCCTGTGCTTTCAAAAGCAGGTCCTTTCACGGAAAATAGGGTTGGTTTTGGTTTTTCCTTTTCACAACTGTCTTCTTCCCAGAGTTTGCTGTTGTTTTCTTCGACTTCTTGCCTACCTGCATCTGCTGCTTTTAGCAACTGATTCTGTGGAAGGCGCGTGGCGTGGCTGGCTGGGATCCGGCCCTCTTCAAAGGTGACATCCAATATTCAGGATTAGCTCCAATCACAGCACCTTCTCCTTCAGTAATTGGATTTTATTCCACTGGAGCCCCAGGCAAAAAAAGTAACCTCTTCATCAAACGGGAAGGCAGGTGGGAGAAGCGCTGCCCCTTGTTGCAGCTCTTCCCAAAGCTGCGGCCTTTCGGGCTCGGTGCAGCAGAAATCCCTCTGGGAGTCCCTCTGATTCGGAGCAGAGGAATTACCTCCGGTCTCTAGCGATCGGCACGTCTTAGGGAAATCTGCACAGCCTGAATTTTTGAAGGAAAAAGGGGCTGATTTATAAGCTGTGCACAGAAAGCCCCCCCTGCTACCACCGCCACGTACTGCAGAGCCCATGGCACGTTCCCCAGCGCCTGGCTCTGGAATCAGCCCTTGCTGGTCAGTATTGGAGCGGTGGGCATACGCGGTGGGCTCCCCTAAGCTGGCAGCACCTCCCGGGCATCCAGCATCCCTCCTCGGCGGGGCCGGAGGGGGGTCTTTCACCTGCCGCCAGCGACTCAGGCTTACCCCGTGGCCAGTTGCCTTGTTAGCCAGCGGCTATTCCCCCGACTCCGAAGGAGCCACGGGCATATCGGCCTTTCCTGGCAGCCAGAGGGGATTTGCCAACTTGTGGTAAAGATCTGGGGAAGGATGGGTGACGGTGCTGCTCGTTTTTGTAGAGATGTGGCTTGTTGGCTGGCAGCGAGGCGGCTTGGCTAAGAGGCCCCCGTGGTTTGGGAAGCACGTCCCCGGGGAGGGAGGAGGATTTTATGGTAGGTAGAGCAGAGCGGATCCGGGCGGAAATTTTGGAAGGGTGTTCGTGGAGTGCTGGAGAGGGAGGGGGGGATCTCCTGGTGACGGGAGGGTTTCCAGAGGACACCCTGTTTGCGGCGTTAAGGGTTTTGAAGGTTGGATCTGTTACGCAGAGCCTCCTCCTTTAACTTGGACCTGAAGTGAGTGTTGATAAAAAAGGAATTTTGCGAGATTCCCGTTCGGTCGCTGCCCTTCCCCACGTGCCGTTGGAGCCGCGTCCTCTTCCGCCTGCGGCTGCACGGAGTCGGAGCGGATCCCGTGCCAGCTTTCACTTCTCCAACTTCACTCTCTTGTGCTTTCTCCAGCAAGGGCAGCAGGTGAGCAGGTTCAGCCTCCGATCAGGGACCTTTGCCAAGCCCTTCTCGGGATCGTGCTGTCTTCCCTTTGTGCTCCGGCCCGGAGCTGCCGTTCCAGCCACAAGAGGAAAACAGCAACTTTGCAGGAAGCTTTCAAATTTTCTTATACTCATGTGTCACTTCATTTCATGCCAGCTAGTCAGGTGAACCGTATCCGTGAGCAGACCACTGGGTTTTCACAAGAGACTTTCCAGTCGCATGCCTCCACTTTTTCCTTTTTTTTTTTCTCTTTTTTTTCCCCCTTTTTTTACACGCCCACTGCTTTGCGAAAAGTGCGAGATGTTTTTGAGCGAGCTTCTCTAACCCCATACAAGACATGGGGCCAATTGCCTTTGTCCGTGAGTATTTCTTCTGGGTTTTTTTGTTGTGGTTTTTTTTTTTTTTTTCTTTTCTTTTGAACAGCATCCTTTCTGAAAACGCAGTGAGCCCATGTGTGGTATCTTCCTCTGAGAGCGCAAACCGTGCAAAGGTGCTGCCCGTGCATGTTCGGGCGTGTTGTTCTGACCCAGGCTGGGATCTCACCCGAGCAGCGGGTTTAGCCGGGGAGCTTCGGGACGGGTGCCGTGGGGGGATGCTCCTACCCAGAGCCTGGCACCCCCGTGCGTGGGCATTCAGCAGGCACCATCCCTTCGCGGAGGGGAATTCGCTTTGCTCCTGGGGTTTCCCCCCCCATACCAACCTTCTTCTTGCACTCCAGCATCACCAGCGCCCCCCAAAACCCATCTGGCCCTCGTGCATTGTGGTTTGCTGCCCTTGCAAGGTGGGGGCTGACGGCGTTGCGAGGAGCTGTGCCCCAGCCCTGGTGCCAGGTGTTGCCGAAAACGTCCCCGTGGGCCGCAGCTTCGCAGCATCCCGGCCCAGGAAGGGCTGGTTGCCCGGCGGGGAATGCTGGATGTGGGGAGCCGGATGGCAGCTGGCACGTATGGATGCCATACTGCTGGGCGACGCCGGTTTGAGGAGCAGCGATGGGGCGCACGGGTGCTAATTACCCCTATCAATTAACCCATCCCAGTAACCCCTGCCAAGCGCAGCCCCCGGCCGGAGCGGCAGGGAAGGCAGAGCTTTCCCCCGCCCCAGCAGCCAGCTGGGAAACCCCATCCCCTCTTCACCACATCTTGGGGGAAAGGGTGATGAAGACCTCGGAGCCAGAGAGGTCCTTCGCGCATCCCAACCGAGCACCCTGCCCCGCTCCCCACCGCGGCAAAGCCAAAAATGCCAGAAATACGCCCG